CATGGTATTTTCTCAACACGTGCTTCGACTTCTGATGAGCTCTTGGTTGCTTAGCTTGCGCTACGGCTCCGTTGTTATTGCAGTACAGCCGTACTGGATCGCTAGCGTTCGGAAATACACCCAACTCTTTGATGAATTTCCTAATCCATGACCCTTCCTTTGAAGCATTTGATGCTGCAATATATTCAGCCTCGGTGGTGGAATCAGCCGTCGTGCCTTGTTTGGAACTCTTCCAACACACGGCACCCCCGTTGACTTTGAATATATACCCCGAGTTTGACTTCGAGTCATCCACATCCGATTGAAAACTAGAATCCGTGAAGCCTTCTAATTTCATCTCGGTATCCCCATAGACCAAAAACAAATCTCGAGTTCTTCGCAAGTACTTGAGAATGTCCTTCACAGCCTTCCAATGGGCTGGGCCGGGGTCGGACTGATATCTGCTTGTGACGCTCACAGCATACGCAATATCAGGTCGTGTACACAGCATGCCATACATTATGCTTCCTATAGCGGATGCATAAGGTGTCCTTTTCATCACCTCGATTTCCATTTGCGTTTGAGGACGCATGGATTTCGAGAGACGAACCCCATGGGACATTGGCAAGAATCCCTTCTTGGATTCTTCCATGCTAAACCGTTTAAGAACGGTGTCTATGTACATGGATTGGGACAAGCCAAGCAATCTCCTCGATCTATCTCTATAGATCCGTATTCCCAATACGTAGGATGCTTCTCCCAAATCCTTCATCGAGAAACGTGTGGATAACCATACTTTAGTTGACTGCAACATCCCTACATCATTCCCAATGAGTAGTATGTCATCAACATAAAGTACAAGGAAAGTCACTGCACTCCCACTAACCTTCTTGTAGACACAAGGTTCCTACGGGTTTTTTACAAATTCAAACTCTTTGATAGTTGTGTCGAACCTTTTGTTCCAACTACGGGATGCTTGTTTCAATCCATAAATGGATCGCTGGAGTTTGCAAACCTTTTGCTCATCTCCAGAAGATATGAAGCCTTCCGGCTGCGCCATGTAAATTTCTTCCTCAATGTCCCCATTAAGGAAAGCGGTCTTCACATCCATTTGCCATATCTCGTAGTCATACCACGCAGAGATGGGCAGCAAAATCCTAATGGACTTAAGCATAGCAACTGGAGAGAAGGTTTCCTCATAGTCAACTCCTTGCTTTTGAGTATAACCCTTCGCTACCAATCTAGCTTTGTAGGTCGATACCTTTCCATCTACTCCAATTTTCTTCTTATAGATCCACTTGCAGCCTATGGGAACGATTTCCTCGGGTGGATCTACCAAGGTCCATACCTTGTTGGAGTACATAGAGTCCATTTCGGATTTCATGGCATTATGCCAATGTCCCTTGTCTGTATCCGATACAGCTTCGTTGAAAGTTCCAGGATCACATCCTTGGTCAACTTCATCAACGAGGAATAACCTATCGCGCGCTCTCCGAACTCTTTCGGATCTACGCAGCAACGGTTCATGAGGTATATTAGTGGTTTGTTGAATTGGTTCATTATCTGATTGTTGTGCTTGAACTTCAGATTGTGGTTCTCGAACTTCTTCGAGATCAACTACACTGCCCTTTCTATCCGATAGAAATTCCTTCTCAAGGAACACGGCATTTCTCGAGACGAACACCTTTGCCTCGGAAACATAGTAGAATTCGTATCCCATGGAATCCTCGGGATACCCCACAAAATAGCATAAGTCGGATTTTCTATCCAACTTATCTCCCACTAGCCGCTTCACGTAAGCGGGACAACCCCATATCCTAATATGTTTAAACGTGGGTTTCTTGGAGTGCCAAAGTTCATAAGGTGTGGAGTTAACTGCTTTGGTATTAACTCTATTCAGCAAATATACGGCAGTTAGGAGTGCATGACCCCACAGGTATGCCGGTAGCTCGGTGAACCCCATCATAGATCGAACCATGTCTAACAGTGTTCGATTCCGACGTTCGGAAACTCCATTAAGTTGAGGAATTCCAGGAGGAGTCCATTGAGACAGAATCCCATTCTCTTTAAGATAGTCTATAAACTCAGTACTTAAGTATTCACCACCACGATCGGATCGTAGTTTCTTAATACGTCTACCGAGTTGGTTTTCTACTTGGTGTCTAAAATCTTTGAACTTTTCAAAAGTTTCAGATTTATACTTCATCAAGTACACGAAACCATACCTAGAATAATCATCGGTAAAGGTAACGAAGTAGTTAAAACCACCCCTAGCACTAACGCTTAGTGGACCACACACGTCTGAATGGATCAAATCCAAAAGACCCTCGGCTCGTTCCATCTTTCCTTTGAAGGGAGTCTTGGTCATTTTTCCTTTAAGGCAGGACACACAAGTTTGAAGTGATTTCACGTCCTCCAAGGAGAACATTCCTTCACTTACAAACTTGTTCATCCTTCTCAAGGAAATGTGACCCAGTCGAGCGTGCCAAAGTTGTGCGGGGTTAAGACTTATATCTTTTCGTTTTGCTGATATAACGTTAATAGGTATTTCATTTGGATTTAGTTCATATAAGTTGTTTATAAGTTGTCCCTTACAAATCATATTTTGATCCTTTTGTATAATGCAAATCGAATTTCCAAAAACAAAAGTAAAACCTTCATTATCCAAAACAGGAATAGAAATAAGGTTTCGAATAAGTGACGGAACAAATAAACAATTGTTCAAAACAATGGAAAAACTTGAATCCAAAACAGAAAGATAAATTGTCCCAATGGCTTCAGCAGCAACCCTTGCTCCGTTGCCCATTCTTAGGTAGGTCTCACCCACATTAAGCCTCCTACTTCTTGTCATGAGCTGCAAATCATTACAAACATGTGAACCACAACCAGTATCCAATACCCAAGAAGAAGATTTAACGGACAAATTAACTTCTATTAAATACGTACCCTTTTCAGAACGTTTCTGATCGAGGTAAGCCTTGCAGTTGCGTTGCCAATGGCCCTTCTTTCCACAATGATGGCAAGCGTCATCAACTTGCTTGGTGACCTTGTCATTCTTCACTCCGCTCGACTCGCCCTTCTCAAGTTTCTTGCTCGGGCCGAAATTTCTTTCTTTCCTTTTCTTCTGTAAAGAACCTTTCTTTGCAGAAGGAGCAACTAGGAGAACAGATTTCTCCTTCTTGATCGTGGACTCATAGCTGACCAACATGTTTAACAACTCATCCAATGGTGGATCGAGCTTGTTCATGTTGAAGTTCACTATGAACGATTCATAGGAACTAGGAAGGGACAGTAGGATCAAATCCACCGAGAGCTCGGCCGGGAGGGTGACATCAAGGCTCACCAACTTCTCAAGGAGAGTGATCATCTTGACACCGTGCTCGTGGACCGAAGCCCCTTCACGCAGCCTCATGGTGATCAACTCCTTGGTAGCTGAGTACCTCGATGCCCTAGTATTCTCACTGTACATGCTTTCAAGATGATGCTTGATATCATAAGCATGCACGTGAGACTCATACTTCCTCGCGAGCTCTGGCACCATGGATGCTAGCATGTAGCACCTCGCATGGAGGTCGTCCTTCTTCCATGCCTCGAAAGTGGCAGTCTCGTCAGCAGTAGCAGTCGCAGGAAGAGCAGCGGGGGGACGTTCATTGAGCACATAGAGACGCTCCTCGACTTGGAGCACAAGTTTCAGATTGCGAAGCCAATCCAAATAGTTTGGACCGGTGAGTTTGTTTTGGTCGAGGATTGAGGAAAGGGGATGTTTGGACATTGTTGCTGAGAAAATTTTAAGAAGACAATAATTAGAGTTTAGTTCGTAATAATCGTTACAATTAAAATTTTGGACTTTTATGTTTTAATTGTTCTCCCACTAATTTTATCGAATTCCACCACCCTCTAGCAGACAATCGTGAAAAATTATTTTTCTTTAATGGGCTTTAGGTCCAATAGCGCTAATGTAACCCGTAGTTAATCTATCCCGATTACATAAGCCTAAAGGTAGAGTACTATCAATCACATCACTATGTGACCCTAAAGATCGATTTACCTCACACTTGATAATGACCTAAGTTAATCTAGCGAATATCAAAATCTTCGTGTGTCAAGTCTAGCCTACCAATATGAGATGTCATAGATCCAACTATATCAAACTAATGCAATCCCTAGTTAATCTAGCCGACCACATTAATCCAATATAATTTTATCTATGACCGTATCTCCATCTAATGTCAATTAAATTACAGCTTATCCCACAATAGCACTCCCCGCTAACACGGCTTACTGCACTATTATGAGAGGCTACACATAATTTAATTGTTGGTAGAAGGAAAGAAAAATTCAACAATTTGGTTTTTCCTTTATAGCTTGATAATTATTCTTGATTAAGAATGAGGGATTTTATTTATTAAATCTTATTAGCTCATCGGAAGTTTTAGGTTATGATCGTTTGTGATTCCTACAACTATGTTCTCTAGGTATGTGGAAACGCATATTGATCCTAAGAGAGACATACGATCATCATCGTACTTAATTACAATTATTCATCTCATGAATTAATTAATAAATACGATTAATTGCAAATATAATTAACGGACTCCCTTCACTCATAAATCAATCAAATAAGAATGAAGTCCATTGATTATTTGCCATCTAATTTGTGTTCCATTAATTAAACTAATTTAACGATTAAATTAAATAATTAATCCAACACTATTCTTTGAATTCAAATTAAATTAATGGATCAATTATCTAATTGGGTTTAATTGATAAATAATTTCAAAAATTAAAAATCAATTAATTTTAATATTAATCTCAGAAAATTAAATTAATTTTTTTTTTTTTGTTGTGTGCTGACCGGACCGGTTCGGTCAGCTGAAAAGCAGCAGCAAAAAAACGATTTTCTAAATTAAAAAAAAAATTATATTTTCTGAAATATTCAGATATCCTTGCATCTTCTTCTCGTCCGTGGCAGATGGCTTGCTCAAGAGCTCCTGCACCTTTGTCCAATTAATTCCCTTATTTCAAAACATGTCAGTCGTAGTCATAACCCCGAGCCCCAACAGAGATGCAAGACTTTGGGAACACTCTAATGCTTGGGAAACTTCTGCCACTAACGGTCCGTCCACTCGCAACCCCATGATGACAGCAACGTCGTGGAGCGTGATCGTCATCTCTCCGCACGGCATGTGGAAGCTGTTCGTCTCCGGCTGCCACCTCTCGACGAACGCTAACATTAATTGTTGATTCATATTGGGGAGCCAACAATGTCGTAAGTGGTAAAGCCCAGTTGCCTCCAACCTGCTAATCAGCATGTCATCCTGCGGGCCGAGGTAGGTTTCCAGTGCTATATTTCTTGATTCGACCCGTCCACTAGCACGACGTTCCTAATTAATTGCATTTATTAGATAGCAAAAAACACAAATTAAAAAAATATATAAAACATGTATTAAAAACAAGCTTACATGTCCATCCCAAACATAGATCGCTATATGCGACTTGAACCAACGCATAAACTCCAAATTTTCCAGCCCTCCCTCGCACGGGCCCTCCAAATACGGTGGACCATCCCAAATTGTAAAATTTATGCCACGACCACCTTTACGTGTCGGCTCCCTCCCATCATGGTCATCATTGCCGTCATCATTATTCACCATCTCCTCATCATCATCGCCGTCGTCATTAGCCACCATCTCCTCGTCATCATCGGACGCGTACTGCAACTGAGTACGAACATGACCGACTTGAAGATCATTAGAAGGCCCGACTCCGACTGCAGTAGCTTCTCCCCTCGCTCTCTTTGCTTCTTCTCTTGCCGTCGCTTTCCTTCTACAATTAGATGCAAGAACTCCCCGATCTCCAATACGATCCGGATCATCCGGATTGTTCGACTTCCGACCCAAAGCTTTCATTAAACTCTTACCTTTTCCCGTAACTTGACTCATTAAACTTTTCCCTCTACCTCTGGCCATCTACAAAAAGATGAATTAGTATTTAATTTAAAAAACAAATTTAAAATTAAAAAAATAAATAAATAAATAAAGTTGCTCGTGTGAAAACACGCGAGTAGACCAATTTTACTCGCATGCCCAACCCAAAAAAAAAATTAAGCTCGTGTGATTTTATGCGAGCTCAATGAACTGAGCTCGCATGGTTTCACACGAGCACAAACCCCCTGTTCGCATAATAACACACGACCTCAATTTTTTAAAATTTTTTTAATAAAAAACATACGAATTTAAAACAATAAAATAAAATAAAAATTACATTCATCTACTCGCGTGGTTCAACGCGAGTAACTCCACTAAACTCGTGTAGAATCACGCGAGTAAAACAAAATGCTTCGTTTTAAAAAAAAATCAATAATCGTAATCTACGTAACGTAACAATAAAAAAAATGTAAGAATTACCTCCGATCTGTTATCGTCTCGGTCGGGATCTGAAATCGAAGTCCAAAAGCTTGAGAGAGTTTTTGTGGAAATTTACCTTTTGATTTTTCAAGAATAGTAAAAAAAATGCCTGCACAAATCATTTCAGTTAAAAAAAAAAAGGATTATTTGACTAACCCCTCTCATATGCATTGTACAATTAAGATGGGTCCGTATTTTTTTGTTCTTTTTTAAGAAAAATCCAAAATAATTTTAATCACCATAAATAATAAAATTTTATTATTTTAATACATTTATACCATTCACTCTATATTTCACGATCTCTTATCTTTCTCTGGTTGTTCTTTTCACCGCCCAAGTTTTCTCTCTTTTATTTTCTCTCTTCGTCTTCTCCATCTCATCTCCATCACGTTCGCCTCCGCTGCTGCAATTTTCAGATCGATTTGGCCGTAGAAGAGACGATATCCACAACTCATAGCTACCTTTCATATCTCTCTCGTCAAACCAAAACTATCGCGAGGGACTTCAATCGCAGTAATTTTAGCCTTCTTTCAATGAAGGTAACAACTATTAGATTATTTAATCAACGTTTACACAACTTGATAAGAAGGTAACAATTCTTAGATTTTTTGGTTAATTATGATCAATTTGTTATTTTTGTTCTGTTTTATATATTTGGTTCAATTAAGGCAAAGTGTTTTTGGATATGGATTTAGTTATTTTATTTTTAAAAAGGAATATGTTGAATTTGGTTATATTTTATTGTTTTATTGTTTGATAATGTATACAACTATTTATTCGTTATTTTTTCATTGTTTTTACGATCTTAAGTTAATTTAGAAAACATAAATGGATAAACAATGAATAACATCATTGGAAAAATAACACATTAATATAAAAAACAACACATTAATTAGCACTTCTGTTGTTATTGTTCTTCTGAACATTAAACCAAAACATGAATCTTATATATCCGTTATTGTTCTTCTGTTGCATTGTATAGTGGACTTCGTTAATTTTACGTGGATTTCGATAAATTTATAGTGGATTTCGATAAGTATACAAAGTGGTTTTCGATAAATTTGTAGTGAATTTTGATAAGTATATAAAGTGGTTTTCATGATTATATAGCTATTTATAGAGAGTGGTTTTCATGTTTATATAGTTGTTTATGCGGAGTGGTTTTCATTGTTTATATAATTGTTTATGCATAGTGGTTTTCATTGTTGTTCTCTCATTCATTTTTCATTTCCACAGATTGATGCAATATTAGTAGGTTGAAAAGAATTTGCTTATGAAAGTTTCCCAAATTTTGTTGCCACCAACGATGGTGTGACACCAAGGTTTGCTTTGGAAAGTAGTTTTCATTTGCTAATTAATTTTATTCTTATTCAGATTGATTTAGTGACCCTCGTCGGCCTTTGCTGGTGGTGGTGTACTGGTCTTGCACTTCTTCCTGGACATAGTAGTGGTTTACGTTTCAAATAGTGAATTTACGTTTTTTTTTTTTTGTTAGTTTTCTGTTGTGTTAGTAGTGAATTACTTATGTTTTTAGTGGATTTCAATAAGTTTGTTGTGGATTATGTTAATATTAAAGTGAATTACGTTGATTTTACATTGAATTTTACAATAATTTTACAGTGGCTTTCGATAAATTTGGAGTAGTTTCCAATGAGTATATAGTGGATTTTAATTTTCGTAACCGTGGTGGAAAAAATAAAAAATATATATACAAGAAAAAAAATTAAAATAAAATTGGACGTTAAAAATCATATTTTTTTAAACCCGGTGGAAAAAATAAAAAATTAAATAAAAATTCTGAAATTAAATAAAAACAATATTTTATTTTAACATTGAAATAAAAAAAAACAAAAAAAAAGAATAAAAAAACTTTTTTTTTGAAAAAAAAAAGAAAAAAAAAAACTTAAATCATATATAATAGTATGATATGGTTTGTTGTGGATATCAATAAGTGTGAGGAGTTATTTTGGAGAGAGAGTATGCTAGGGGCATTATAGATAATTTGAGTCAAATGGACTTATGTCAAATATCAATTATTAAAATGGATTTATAATGAAGTCAAAATTGAATGACCGGGGTTTGTCAAATAGCCCCTTAAAAAAATATTATTTTATAATTCTTCAGGATGAAATTTAAATCAATAATACGAAAACGCCCCTAACTTAAAAATAAAAAAATATTTAACATTTAATAAAATCAACTTAAACATTTCGAAATTGACTCTCTTTCTTCCATTATGCTATAGGGTTTTCCCTCTCCTGAACTTCTTACAACAGATGCAGCACGATTTCGAGGTTCTGAACGTAAAGTAAATTTATTTTACAATCACCCATTCAATTATAATTTTGATTCATATACTTCGCACAATGCTCATGGATTGTTTTTAATTATTTTTTTAGTATGACTTCGAATTCGAACTATGTGCGAAATAGGGAAACTGTCGTTCCAGTGAGAGTGGAGTGTCTAATCCATATTGTTTCTAGGTTAAATTTCCATTGCCATTGCAGTTTGGAAGCGACAATTAAAACCTCGAGGATGGAAAAAAACCAAGAAAACGATTTTATTTTTGTTCATTGAAAGAGGCAAGTAATTTATAATTTCTATTAATTTAATTCTATCGGAAACATTTTTACTGATTTTTTTTAGCTGGAAAAATATTTGTAAGAACATCGTTGTAATTTCTTTAGATGGTGTGACGAGTACACTCGCGAACCGTCTGTTGAGGTTATATCTGGATTATTGACAAAGTTTAATCGTTACGAACATGAGACTTCTAACTGGCAAGCCCGTGTACTATTGTATAAACGTAAAGTCTAAACAATGAAGGTACTTGGTTGGACTGCTATAATTGTTATGTTATTCTTAATGTCAGTTGTTTATTATGTGTTAGGTGTTGTATGTCCAAATTAGAAGATTTTTGTTCAAATGTTGTTGTGTGTACCCTTTAACTATTTAATTCGCCCTCTGGAATTAATTGCATGATATTTGATTTTCAGTAGTATTTTTTATCGCAAGATCTCCATATTGCATTGTGCTTATAAATTTACTATGTCATGTCAAAGTACATTTTTTTTATTCACTCATAGGTTATTAATATTTTTTATTAATACATTAATAGGTTATTAATGTAATGTAGTTGGCAAGTAGCAGTTTTTCAAATAAAATGCGTATGAGCTTTTGGTGTGTATTAAAATTTCTAGCTTTCCCAAGAAAAATACTAATCATTTCACCTATGCAAGCATTAAGTGAAAGATAACCTACCAACCCTCCAACTTGTGCTATAAATTGACCACCATTTCTTCTTCGAAGGACACCAGTTACATTTTAATTACTTCAATTGAAATACAAACCTCAAAAAATGGGTCCGGTCGAAAAAATAAAACAAGATGCCTTCTTCTACGACGGAGAATCGACTTGGCGTATTGATCGGCATTTCATTGAAATTGTGGTGAAAGATGTAAAGAAAGGAAACTTTTGGTGTGGTTCAAATAACAACACTACGATTTCGCGGACTTGGAACCATCAACAAAGAGTTTGGAACTTCGTTTACATACGAGCAGTGTGAAAATAAGCTGAAGTTAATGGAAATGAGGTACCACACATTTAAAGCCATTATTTTGTCTTCGGGTGTTGAGTATGATGAAGAAACTAATTTCATACATGCAAATGAGTCTACATCGGAGGCATCTTCTATGTAAGTCCACTGTTTTCTTTATAATCTTTGTAACTTGCTTTAAATTGTTACGGTTTTAATTAAAAAAGAAAGTTTTACCTCACCGATCACGCGTATTAGTTAGTAGGAGAACCGACGGCGAGAACACCTTTGTGTTTTCGATTCTAATATGAATTCAAAAGAGGGCAGATGGTGGAACGAAGATGTAAAGAATCCACCCACAAAAAGGTATACGCTTTACCTCAGCGCTTTATAAAGAAGTCAATTGCTCTTATCTATTTAACAACACCCGTGATGCGAAAATAAATATAGGATTATATGAGATAACTCCCTTATAGAATTTTCTTAAAGACAAAAATCTACTTTTTATTCACTATTAGGGATAACACCCTCACATACCAGAATACCTCATTTACCCCTATTATATTCATAAAAATATTAAAGATTAATTATCAATTGGATTAATATAAAAATCAATTTAAAAAATCTGTAAATACACTCCTCTGATTTGCCAAAAAATATTTTTTTTAGTTTTTAATTTTGATTTATTCAACTTTTTAATTTCTTTTTAATTTCTTAATTTCGTTTTTTTATTTAAGTAGTTTTTTAAATATAATTTTTTTTTCGGGAGCAAATCGAAATCTACTACATACGTAATTAACAAAATCCACTATTTAATTAACTTAATCCATTATGTATTTTTTTTAATAATTTCTTGTTTTTTTTTCCACCGGGTTTACCAAAAATTTAAATCGACTACACACTCGTCAAAATTTATCGACATTCACTAAACGTAATCCACTATTCACTGAAAATGCATTGTAAGCGCTATCACCGACCCACCATTCTAACATAATCTGCTATACATTGCGCATGAGAATTCGAAATCCACTACTCACTGCAAACGTCGTTGTTCTCCACTCCTCTATTACCTGGTCTGCATCAGCTATATTTTTCGCCTTGTCGGCAAGAACGACGATATTAACGTAATCCACTAAATTAATGTAACTTGGCTACAAACCTTAGTAGCCAACTTCGACAAATATAGATATACAAACAAATCACCGGTACTAAAAAAAATACAATTTTCTTTGCAAGGAGAAATAAATAACGACTTTAACAATTCTAATAAAACTACTACTATCTCTTTGTTTATTTCCAAATAATAACAAGGAACTGGACACCAAAACAACACCGTTGCCACCAACGAAGTAGTAGTGTTACCCAAGCATCACCCGACTTAGTCACCCCCTCCGCCTGCTAAGTATATGAACCGAAGAAAAATAAGGCAACAAAATATCAGTTCTGAAACACGTGGATTTTTTCCACATTTTGTTTTTAACTCTCTTATTTTCTAACTAAATATTAGTTATGGAATAAGTAGTGCTTAGTGGGTTAAGTATAGTGCTTAGTGGGCTAAGTATAATACTTAGTGGGCTAAGTAGTGCTTAGTGGGTTAAATTGTGGATATTATCTTAACTACTAAACTAACCCACTAACCCATGTTCTTGAGTGCTCTTGTAGTTGGTTTTCTTGCAGATCATGGGCTGAGAAGTGGAAGCTTGGAATGTCTATAAATACCGACTTCAAGACTCAAGGAAATGTATGGATTCTAAGAAATAAAAAACCGAGAGCTGAAAAGAATACATGAGATTTTTAGTGTGTTTTTAGAATCTATTTTACGTACTCCTCATGAGTACATTCTTTACGTACTCCTCATGAGTACATTCTTTGTAGTCTAGATTGTTTACTATATAGTTTTTATGTTTCTAGACTTGGTTGTAAGAATGATCAAGATAGTGATTCATTCATAAGAAAGAAGTTCTTTACGTACTCCTCACGTACGAGTACATTCTTTGAAATCTAGAATTTTTAGTATTTATCTTTTTGTTTCTAGATTTGAATGTAAGAATGATCATGTTAATGATTCATTCATAAGGAAGAAGTTTTCGTACATCTTCCCTTTGTATTCTTGTAATACTGTTTTAATATAATTTTTCCGTCCTGTAAAGGGCAAGTTCACAAGTTTTACTTGTGAACATTTTTAGATCTGAGTATTGTCTTTATATTTCCGCTGCATGTTTACTTAAGTGTCATAAAACTTAAGATAACATCTCTGTATTAAACGAATTCGGGACTATAAATTATTTCAAGTTCAATTCATTCAAAAAAATTCTTTTCCAAAAGCAAGAATTTAAAAACCTACTATAATCTCGTCAAAATCCACTATAAAATTATAGAAATGAAGTCCAGGAAGTTAACGTCATTCACTATGAAATCATCATAATCCACTACAAAATCAATTACAAAAATAACGAAAAAACTACGAAATCAACAAATATAACTAAAATAAACACTAAATTTCATTTATCCGGAAGAAATCGCTTGAAAAAAGAGATAACAATTGCAATCTAGGATTTTGTCGAAAGTAGCCTCGAGAAAAGTTAGTTACCATGAGTTGCGTTAAAAGAAAGCCTTCTTGAAGAGATGGTGCCATATTATCTATAAATCTATAGATCATAGAATATTGAAAAAAATTAGAAATATGAAGATGAATTACAACGATTTTAAATGAAGACCAAATGTGCGGCATACAATAGAAATATTGAAACTCATCATTAATTAATTACAACAATTTTAATTGAAGACGAATTAGATATAATTTTGTAGCATTTGAATTAACTTCAACCCCCAATTTTAAATTCCAAAAAATAAAAAGACATCATTTTAAAAAATAAAGAAATAAAATGATGACCTTTACCACTAACGGCGACGGCATGTCATTATTATGGAGTCGAAATCTCCATATCCAAATTGCAAAAAACCTAATTACCGCATGATTTGAAGCATTGCCTGCAAGAAGAAGACCTCATCTGCCGCTTGAGTTTTGTACCACCGCATAAAGATCGCGCAGTGAGCGGTGGAGGCAGATGAAAGGGCGCGGCGACGATGGAGATGGAAGAGAAGAAAAAAACGAGAGAGACTGCTATGACGAGAGTTTGACTAGGTTAAAGAAATTGAGAAAGGGTAAAATAGGTTATTAATTATATAATTTGATGAATAAAATACAATTGGATTCATCTCAAAAATGGGAAATAAAAAAGGATTTAGTCTAATAATACATGCATATGAGGGGGTTTTCTCAAATAATCCCAATAAATAAAGGAAAATGGGTTCAAATTGGGGATCTGCTATTTTTGACAAAATTGTGTGCGTAGTTGGTGGAAAAAGGCAGATATTTTGATGAATTCAATTTATTGATGAGGATTTTTGTGTCCACTAGACTATGTCAGCTGTTCTCATTGGTTTGGGATTGTGTAATCCACCCAATATTGGGTGGACAAGTTATCACTCAAATAAAGGATTCAAAATTGCCATCAATCATGGGCTTTAATCACTCCAACCAAACGTCTGATTGAGTTGGATGAATTAGTCAATCACCCAATTATTGATCCAAACGAGGCCCTAGTTGACCAGTGAAATCACCTACAACAATAACGAAAATGACTATATTTCTGTAAATAGCACCAACACAATTTCAACAAACAGACATGCAATCTACTGTTGATTGAACACAAATAAGGTTCCAAAACAATACAAACCTGCCCCCAAAGTAAGAAAATTAAGTACTGTGAATGGGGTTCCAAAATAATTTTCAACAGAAAAAGAACAATGAGAATAATGTTGGAGGTGACCTCTATTAAAATCTCGAACGCAGTATTAACCCTAGTGTCGTGGCTAGTCGCTCTTTCTAGCGAAAACCTAGCGCCGCCCTTGACGAGAGGATTCCAGGACGCTAATATCCCATTACTTCCATTGCGGTGGAGGGAGAGACGTGAGTAATTTAGCGGTTGTTCGGGAGGTGGCGGTGGTAGTGGCCGGGCACAAAGAGAAAGAGTGATGTGTTAGGATTTTTGGGTTAAATGAGCAAATAATATATTATTTGATAGATGTGTAAATCGTGAACTATAACTGTAAATTTTACAAATATTTATTTAACCAAATAAATTGGGCGCAGTCTCGTTAAAATTGAAAATTGGTGGGATACATCCTCATTTACCTATAATCCATATAAGTGAGACGTTTTCACTAATAATCCCTATATTAAAAAGTCAAAATGACAATTATAGTAGGTCAAAGGGATTGGATTCGAGTTGAGTCATATATTAAGTACATTACCATTATATTTGTCAACTTTGTAATTCTATTTTGAAATTTGATTTGATTATTAAATAGTTCAAATCAACTTACTTAATATAGCATAATCGAATCTATAATTTAGAATATTCAAATCATCATTAAATATTTCAACCACTACAAGATTATGTGTGATGATTCTAGATATATTCCAATAAATCATATTAGATTGTACAAATAATACATATATCATAAATAGGTTCCCAAATGTGACAATTCAAATCAACTTTAAAACCACAAATCTATCAATTATTTAAAATTTATCTAGCTAGTACATATAACTTATAAGCATTCTCAATGAAACTCAGCTCCGCCGCCGCCGTTCTCCTCCTCCTCCTCCTCCGCCTCGCCGACTCAGCTCCGCCGCCGTTCTCGTGCGACGCCTCCGACCCGAAAACGCAAACGTTCGGATTCTGCAAAGCTAATCTGCCAATCGACGAAAGAGTACATGATCTGATTACGCGGCTGACGATTGACGAGAAGATATCTCAGCTGGTGAATTCAGCTCCGGCGATCCCACGGCTCGGTATCTCCGCCTACGAGTGGTGGTCGGAGGCGTTGCACGGTGTCTCCGGCTATGGACTTGGCGTTAGTTTTAATGGAACAATTAAGGGCGCCACCAGTTTCCCGCAAGTCATTCTTTCTGCTTCCACCTTTGATTCCAATCTTTGGTACCGCATTGGTCAGGTAAATTTAAAAAAATAATAATAATAATAATAATAAATAATTGAGAAAATCAAATTCTATATTATATGATGAGAATTTCTTTAATTTATTGGATTGATAAAATAAATACAAAACTGCAGATTCTGGAATGTTTGGTAGATTTATCGAATTTTCATGTATGATTGAAAATTTACAGTCACCGACTAAATATAATATAGTGTAAATTACAAAAATGCCCCAAACCTAGGTCAAATTACGGAAAACACCTCATCCTATCTGTAACCACGAAAAGCCCCTGATGTTTGTTTATGTTTTACATCGACCCCCTTATGGTATGAATTTTCCACGGAATCTTTTTTATTCTAGAGAATATTTCGCAAAACATGTTAATTCTATACCTGCAAACGTGGCATGTCTTTAAGTTACTTTTTGAAGATCAAAATTACCTTTAGGGGACCTTTACACGAAATCTTTAGTCTTCTTAAATAACACACTCACATTTTTTTAGTATTATTGTTACCCCTCTGATGGTGATTTTTTACTTTAAAATTTAACATTATAAAGAAATGTCACGTCTGCAGGTGTAGAATTAACATTTTTCCCGAAATACTCCATATGATTAAAATGATTCCATGAAAAATCACACCCTAAGGGCTCGGCGTAAGACATAAACAAATATTTGGGGTATTTTGGTAATCACAGATAGATCGAGGCTTTTTCTATAATTTAGTCTTAGTTTAGGGCAGTTTTGTTATATACCCTATAATATAAGTTTGTTAAAATGGGAGTTTTCAAGATTGATTTGATATAAACCTAATACTAGTACAAAAAAGGAGTGATTTATTTATTTTTATAATGGTTAAATCCATATGTATATTTATTTATATATTTTAATTTGAAAATAAAAATGTAATATTAGGCTATTGGGAAAGAGGCACGAGCGATGTACAACCAAGGGCAAGTGAAAGGGATGGCATTTTGGGCACCAAATGTAAATATTTTTAGGGATCCAAGGTGGGGTAGGGGCCACGAGACACCTGGCGAAGACCCATTGGTTGCTGGGAAATATGCAGTGGCGTTTGTGAGGGGAATTCAGGGTGACAATTACAATAATGATAAAGTTGAGGGGCAGGAAAACAATAACGGCATTCTTCAGGCCTCTGCCTGCTGCAAACATTTCACCGCCTATGATTTGGACAACTGGAAAGGCGTTAGTCGCTTGGGTTTTGATGCCAAGGTAATTCTCATTTTTCTACTTAAACCTTTATAAATTAATCCATACGAAAACCAGCAAATATTTTATTAATTTAATAATATATTAAGTTATCGAACTAATAATTTAATATATTTTCTCTGAATTCAGACTGAAAAAGTTATTATTTTAGCGAAGTTATTTTATACTGTACTTTGTGTTGCTCAAATTTGATGCTTATGATGTTTTTTTTCGTTGGTAAAATTAGTCGATCATACTAATTAAGAGATTTTTAATTTTATTCAATTCTCGTTGATTTTAATAAATTCTTCGAACGATTGAGGTTATGTAAAAATAAGTTTCATATTAGTTTAATTATTAAACAGTTTATTTATTTGTTATTATTATTGTAATAATTATTATTATTCTTATAGTTTATTTTTCTAAATTAGGTGACGAAGCAAGATTTGGCAGACACATATCAGCCACCTTTTAAGAGCTGCATCCAAGAAGGGAGAGCGAGCGGGATTATGTGCGCGTACAATAGGGTGAATGGTGTTCCGAATTGCGCCGACTACGACCTTCTTACGAAAACCGCGCGTGGAGAATGGGGTTTTCAAGGGTATTTTTTGTAAATTCACACTCATAATCATGGCTAATTTTTTAATTTTTTTTTTTTTAATATTTATGAATTGATTTGTATATTCAGGTACATTGTGTCTGACTGCAATGCAGTTGCTGTCATTCATGATGTCCATAAGTATGCAAAATTACCAGAAGATGCTGTAGCAGATGTACTCAAGGCTGGTATGTTTGTACCTTATCTCCATTGTATTGTAGTTTTGGTCCTCTATGTTGGTCTATTTAGAAATTTAGTCCTCTAACTTGTCATGTTTAAGTTTTACATACAATCACTGGCGGTACTACATAGGGGCAGGGGGGGGCAGTTGACCCCCCAAGAAAAAAAAAAAAAATTTTTTGCTATTTTGGCATAATATTTTTTTAATATTACCTTTGGGCCCCCCAAAGGTTTTGTAAATATGCATTTTAACCCTTAATTTTTTTGTTTATTCTCCACAATTTTATATAAATTATAGATATATATTATATTTAATATAAAAATATTAAATAAAATGGTTAAAACTTGTACTATTTTAAATAAAATTTATGAATATTTACTTATCGATCTTTAATTTTTTATATCAATGTCTCTAAAAAATAATACGAGACGTGCCATAAATCCCATTAAGTGCAATATATTATTAGAATAATTTAGATTTTTTTTCATACTTGAAATATGATAAAATTATATACATATATATATATATATATATATATATATATATATATATATATATATATCATTTTAATTAAAAATTCGCAGTATAAACCTATTTTTTTAATGTCTGGTGAACCTAAATTTTTTTTCGGGGCGCTGCCCGAACCCCGAAATTTTAGTCCGCCCCCCCTACTTTCTAATCCTGGTTCCGCCCCTGCATACAATAGCTTGCTCCTATTTTGCATGATTTTTAATTTTATGATTCGGCAAATAAACTTGACGCATTTTACTTATATGGATCCTTGTAAATTTATAAATTCGACATCTAACTTACTACTGGTAGAACTTTAATTATGTGAGACGACATATCTGTAAACCAAATTAGAGGAGCATTTATAATTTTTAAGTGTCCAAATAAATATATTTCTGCGAGTTTGTTAGGTACATCATTAAACGACTGCTAAAATTCAAAGTTCGAGTGAAATAGGACTAAAAATAATACTACTTTTGCATGATTATTGCATGTAAAACTGAAATAGGACTAAATCCCTAGAGAGACTGACATATAGGACCAAAATTACAATTTTCCCATTTAAAGCTTCTCAAATTTGAATCAATTTATTACATTCGGCCCCCCGTATTTGCAGGCATGGATGTCGACTGCGGTTCGTACTTATCGACCTACACAAAATCAGCACTCGAGCAGAAAAAAATGCTCGAATCCGATATAGACAGAGCCCTTCACAATTTATTCTCGGTCCAAATGAGATTAGGCTTCTTCAACGGAAATCCAAACACACAACCGTTCGGCAAAATCGGGCCCGATCAAGCATGCACGCAAGAGCACCAACAACTCGCCCTCGAAGCCGCGCATAACGGCATCGTTCTCCTAAAGAACTCCAACAACCGTCTCCCGTTGTCCAAAACCTCCTCACTAGCCGTTATAGGCCCAAATGCCAACAACGCCTACGTACTTCTCGGAAACTACGAGGGGCGCCCTTGTAAATCCGTAGAAGTCTTCAGAGCTATCCAAAGCTACGCACCGAACGCCTCGTACGAAGGCGGCTGCAAAGATGTGAACTGCGCGGTCGCTGATGTGGCGAGTGCCGTTCGAACGGCGAAGGACGCGGACGATGTGGTTCTGGTGATGGGGTTGAATTACAGCCTTGAGACGGAGGATCACGATCGTGTGGACCTGGTGCTGCCAGGTCAGCAGGAGGGGTTAATCAGAGCCGTTGCTGCGGCTTCCAAGAAGCCCGTGGTTCTTGTTTTGATCTGCGGTGGGCCCGTCGATGTTTCTTTTGCGAAAGATGATCCGAAAATAGGGAGCATTTTGTGGGCGGGATATCCGGGTGAAGCTGGTGGGATTGCACTAGCTGATATCTTGTATGGTCAACACAATCCCGGTTAGTCATCCCTTTTGATCGTCGTTTTTACCTTTGCACAAGATTAATGATTTCGTTAATTGTGTCTTGATTTTAGGAAAATGTATGTTTTTAGATTGAAATGACCATGTCTTATAATTAATAAGAGAGATAACTAAGTTAAAAAAAAAATAGTATAGAAAATAGTTAATAAGGGTATAAACTCAAAATTAAGTAACTAATGCAATGTTGGAAATTTAATGTGACAGATGATATGGAACAAAAAAAAATCTCAAAAATGACAAATATTATGGAACAATGGAGTAATAACTTAATTATTCAAAGTTTATACCAAATCGCTAAATATCTCCTCGTATTATAAATATTAGCAAAAAATATTATTTGATGCATCTTTCTTAGGCTTAACCCCATAAATAGTTCTTATCAAAAAAAAAAAAAAAACCCCATAAATTGTAGAGTTTTTAGGGGTAGTTTGCTAATAAAAATGATTCATAGGGCGGTTGTGCTAATATTTAGAACTTAGAGTTTTTTGACAATTAGAGTAAACCGGTGCAAGAAAAAATGGCAGTAGTGACACCCCATTAGTGAAACTATCAAATTTTGTTACTAAATGCTAGCTTACATCAAGTGATAACATTTTGTATAGTCACTAGAAAGAATTGATAACACACCTCTGGTTGACAAACATACTAACAATACATTTTGCCTAAGGACGTCAAAATAGGTGTTATCACTCAAAAGATTATTTAATTTTACTGGTATGGGGTGCTAAATGTAATAAACAAAACTTATTTACAAACACCTCCTTGTTTTTACTCAATTTTTTTTTTCTTTCTTGATCAAATCATAATAGTCTAAATGGAACTTAAAAGGTAAATTATTTTGTTATTGCAGGAGGGAAACTACCCGTAACTTGGTATCCAAAGGATTTCATCAAAGTACCAATGACTGATATGAGAATGAGGCCCGATCCTTCGTCGGGATATCCGGGACGTACTTACCGTTTCTACAACGGACCAAAAGTGTTCGAATTTGGCTATGGACTCAGCTACACAACACATTCCTACGAATTCATATCGTCAACTCCCAACACTCTCCACTTAAACCAATTAACCCCGACTTCTCAAACAACCAACGAAACAAATTCATTGTCCGTTTCCAAGATTGGGGCAAATAATTGTGAAAAGTTGAAGTTCTCGACACACGTGGGAGTAAAAAACACGGGGAATATGCCAGGAAAGCACCCGGTTCTAATTTTCGTTAGGCACGAAAGGAATAGCAATATTACCGGAAGGCCTTTGAAACAATTGGTCGGATTTGAGAGTGTGAGCTTAAATGCTGGAGAAAGTGGTGAGATCGAATTCGTATTGGATCCGTGCGAGCATCTTAGCACGGCTAACGAAGATGGTGACATGGTGATTGAAGAGGGATATAGATACTTAGTTGTAGAAGATAAAGAGTATTCGATCAATATCGTACTTTGAGATGTACGGGCTTTTCAATTGCCGAATTTCAATAAGTATACTTAATTAGTTATACATGGCCTAATAGAACTAATATGGAAAGAATTATGTAACATTCATGTTGTCAATTTTTTTCATGAAATATTTTTGAAAATATTATGGCATTTCTATTTGGTGTGTACGATCATTTGTTTTTCTTTTTCTTGTTCTTGCTAGTATCTATTATATCGTTTGTAAATTTAGAATATACATACCTTTTAAAAGTTCAGGAAAGACTCAGTTAACATTGAAATATATAAAAACCATGCATTCCATTGTCATCAATTCATCATGCAATTAGAGAATAAATCAAAATATACTAGGTTCAATAAAAAACTAAAATGTGTATCGTTTCAATTTTACTAATATTTTTTTAACTTCAAACATGATTTTGCCCATTTTTTATTGGGCAAAACTCAAAAAACGAAATTGTAGTTCTTTTAAGTTTTCAGTTAGCTTTTTAATCCCACTTGAATAAGTTAGATCAGACGTCGATTGATAAAATTCTGCATGAATGAGTTACAATTTGAAATTTAGATAACTCAAAACTTTAAAGTTGTTGGCAATGTTTGTTCATTGAAGTTAAATGGATGAAATTGGAGTATATTAGTATTTTGGTCGTTGATAGCATTTTTTTTTAATGATGAAGGAAATCCGCAACCAACCATACATGTGCACTGAGTAAACTTACCATCTCGTATAATAACTTGCAGACCATACAAGAGAAGTTAACCACACTAGGCTAACCATGTGAGACAAGCTTGACCTAACGACCGTTGGCAAGAAAATTCAAACTATTGTCAATTGACAGTACGCTCACGTGCTCCAAACCGGTAGGCAGGGGTGGAACCAGTATCTTTTTGCTGGGAAGCTAAATTATGGGATCGTTTAAGGAAAGAATAAAAATGTTTTTTTCTGGACTAAAAGTGCATAAAAATAAACTTTGGAGGGCGAAAGTGTTTAAACTAATAGATAAATACCAAATTAAAATTTAAAAAAAAATAACAAAAAACTATTTTTTGTTCTTTTGTTTTTTTTTTTTCTGCAGATGCGGGGGCCCACCCCACTCTCTTACTGAGTCCGCCCCTGCCGGTAGACCATCCATTGCGGGACAGTTATCATTAAATTAAATTGCACTTTTTTCGTGATAATCTATTAGTAGTTAACGGAGGAAAATGAAGTTACCAATTAAATTCTTATCAACCACATACCCTACCTCCCAAAAAAAAAAAGCAATATTTTCTATATAAGTAGCCTTGAAAGGGTAACATATTCACATCCAATGGTCATCAATAGATGTGTTGTCTTTACCAACCGGACATAAATCTGGATATGTATCTAGATTTGTAAAAAAAAATATAATACTAGTTTTTTTTTTCTTGTCTTGTAAAGATAATCCCCATTGTTTATATTGTATATACATATATACATATCTATAAATATTATATATATAAACTCTTGTCTTAATTTAATTTCTTTGAAAATGGCTCTCATAGCTGCAATCATATGCTCTACCATGCTTGTAAGTATCAATGCTCATATTGCTCAATCAACTCATCATAAACAACCACTCCCACCATTTTCTTGTGACTCCACAAATCCATCTACAAAGTCGTACCCGTTCTGCAACGTCGATTTGCCGATCGAAAAACGGGCCCACGACTTGGTCTCACGCCTCACGTTAGACGAGAAAATCTCGCAGCTTGTAAATAAGGCTTCGGCCGTTCCACGGCTAGGAATACCGTACTACCAATGGTGGTCGGAGGCTCTGCATGGAGTTGCCATGGCCACCGGAGTCGAAAACGGCTTCGCCTTCAACGGGACTATTCGCGCCGCCACTAGCTTTCCGCAAGTTATACTCACCGCGGCTACATTTGATGAAAATCTCTGGTATCAAATTGGCAAGGTTAGTCGAAAACTAGTCCAATAGTAAATTATATCATGCCATATTTCTTTTGTAATTAGAATTGCGAATTACGATCTAGACCTCGTAAGAATTTAAAATAGTATTAGGCATAAGAATTATGCATGGATTATTGCATGCAGGTGATCGGAGCGGAGGCTCGAGCAATATACAATGAAGGGGAGGCAATAGGCATGACATTGTGGTCACCAAACATTAACATTTTCCGAGATCCGAGGTGGGGAAGGGGACAAGAGACACCTGGCGAAGACCCTTTCATGACAAGTAAATACGCCGTCTCGTTTGTTCGCGGAATCCAAGGCGACAGTTTCGAAGGCGGCCAACTCAAAGACGGCCGTTTACAAGCCTCTGCGTGCTGCAAGCATTTCACCGCCTATGATTTGGAGAGTTGGAACGGAAACAACCGTTTCACGTTCAACGCTCACGTATGCAATTTCTCTCGTTGGCTAAATAATCTAATAAATCGTAGAAAATAATTGCATTTCTTAAGGAAAAAATCGTTTTTTTCTTTTTTGTTGGTATAGGTGACAAAGCAGGATATGGCAGATACGTATCAGCCACCGTTCAAAAGCTGTGTAGAACAAGGTCGAGCGAGCGGGGTTATGTGCGCTTATAATCTTGTAAACGGTGTTCCTAATTGCGCCGATTACGATCTATTAACGAAAACTGCTCGTGGCGAATGGGGATTCCAAGGGTACATTTTTTAATAACCTGATTTTTTTTTTTTTATTGTTTTCAGAAAAGTTTCTCCTAGTTATTTAATCAATGTCATTGTAAAATTAATAGGTATATAGTATCCGATTGTGACGCAGTCTCACTTATTTACGAGAAACAGAATTACTCAAAATCGCACGAAGATGCTGTGGCAGATGTGCTTAAAGCCGGTAACTTTGTACCCGTTTTTCAAGATTCATTTACGTTAGAAAAAAAATCATAATTATATTTTTGTAAGGAGTATTGAAAAACATATATAGGTATGGATGTCAACTGCGGCAGCTATTTGGCGGAGCACACAAAATCGGCAATCGAGAAAGGAAAAGTGTCGGAATCTGATATAGACAGAGCCCTTTACAACCTCTTCACCGTTCGGATGAGATTAGGACTTTTCAACGGCAATCCAAGGAAACTTCCTTACGGAAACCTTAGACGTAAAGACGTCTGTTCTCACAAGCATCAAAATTTAGCCCTTGAAGTTGCACGTGATGGCATTGTCCTTTTAAAGAACTCCGCAAATCTACTTCCACTATCCAAGTCGGAAACAAAATCTCTTGCAGTAATAGGCCCCAACGCAAACGACTCGAGAACACTAGTAGGAAACTACGCGGGCCCGCCTTGCAAAACCATTACTCCGCTACAAGGACTAATGAAATATATCAAGAAAACAAAGTTCCACCCGGGATGCAATAGCGTAAATTGTACCTCAATTGCCTCGAGAGAAGTTATAAAGTTATCGAAATCAGCGGATTATGTGGTTCTCGTAATGGGAATCAATCAAGATCACGAGCGCGAAGAGCTTGACCGAGAAGACTTGGTACTTCCAGGTCAACAACAAGATCTTGTAATGAGGGTGGCCGAGGCTGCTAAAAATCCGATTATATTGGTATTACTTTGTGGAGGCCCCGTTGATATTTCGTTCGCGAAAGATAATTCAAAAATCGGGAGTATTTTGTGGGCTGGATATCCCGGTGAAGCAGGGGGGAAAGCGATTGCAGAGATCGTGTTTGGTGACCATAATCCAGGTACATTTCCTAAAGAAAAAACTTTTTTCATTAGTCACTTTGTTTTTTTTTTTTTTAAATGAGGATAGTTACTGGTCCTCCAGTTGTAAATAAATTACTTGTATTTTGTACTTAATGTTGCAATATATGATTATTTTTATCAGGAGGAAGGCTTCCTATGACTTGGTATCCAAAAGATTTCGTCAAAGTACCGATGACTGATATGAGAATGAGGCCCGATCCTTCGTCTGGATATCCGGGACGAACTTATAGATTCTACCAAGGCGAAAAAGTGTTTGAGTTTGGATATGGTCTTAGCTACTCAAACTATTCTTACAAATTTATCTCTAGTAGTAAAATCAAACTCGATTTCAAGAAATCATCCGTTGGTAGTAGGGTTGGAAACTTGGGCGACATTTCGGTTTCGGACATTGGTTTGGAATCATGTGAGAAGGCAAAATTTTCGGTTATTGTACGTGTTGAAAATGAAGGGAATATGGCCGGTAAGCATCCGGTTTTGCTATTCCTAAGACACGATCAAGGTAAACAGTTGGTCGGATTTCAGACAGTTAAGTTGGGTGCAAAGGAGAAGGCTAATGTTGAGTTTCGGGTAAATCCATGTGAGCAGTTTAGTAGAGCTATTGAAGATGGAACAATGGTGATTGGATCGGGGCTCCAACATTTGGTTGTAGGAGATCAAGAGTTTCCTATTAGCACAAATGTTTGAATTGTTCACTTTTTTTTTTTTTTGAGAAAAAACGCACTTTATTAGGCAATATGCGCCAAATTAGGTGGGAGAACAAGACCCTCCACCACGTTATTACAAGGAATCTGAGCAATAGCGTGGGCTAATTTATTACCCGACCGCTTCGTGAAATTAAAAGAGCAATATTGAAATTCTAGAGCCATTTGTCGGCAATCTTCCACAACAGCCCCAAAGTCAGCAGCCTCATTCTCTCCATCGCGAAGAGCTTTAATAATTGGAAGACAATCCCCCTCGATGACAATATCAGACCAGCCTCTATCCTTGGCCATGGAAATGGCTTTGAGTGCTGCCAAAGCTTCCCCCTCCACCGGCTGAAAATTGCCACGAATCTTGACAACCTTCCAACCAATGCATCGACCATCCTCGTTCCTAGCAACAGCTGAGACTGAAATCCATTGTTTCCCTCGTGGTAGAGCTGCGTCAAAATTCACCTTGACACGACCATGCGACGGTGGAATCCACTCGCTGGGGTGAACGGTCTGCATCTGTGAATTCTGCTGGAGTTGAGCACTCTTAAAAGAAGCAAGATAAACCTTACACCAACTCACCATTTCATTCACGTGGAGAGCTTCTTCTCTTTTGATTTCCTTATTTCGTCGATCCCACGCTTTCCACGCCAAAACCATTGCAACAAGAAACTCGTCTGCCCCTAATAACTTTTGAACGTCAACAAACCAATTCCACATGGACGAAGTGTCAACATGGTGCAGAGCATCGAAAAGGGGTAAATTCCAAATAGCTTCCATTCCTCGACATCGCAAAATAACATGCAGGGCAGATTCTTCTTCGCTATTGCACCGATCGCACCATGGTGAGGAAACGACCTTTCGTCTAAATAACTCGACTTTAGTTGGCAAAATACCCCGACACAGGCGCCAAATAAACAACCGGATTTTTGGAGGAATAGGGAGACTCCATATAACAGGCCATTTACAAATCCCTGCCCCACTACTTGAGCCGTCTCTGCCTCGTCGTTGATTCACTAGGTCGGATAAATGAGAAAGAACCCTATGGTAACACGATCTCACCGAGAATCGACCATTTCTTGCAAAATGCCAAACCCAAATGTCCTTCGCATACCCGTTGCCCACCGGAATAGCCAAGATACGTTCGACGTCCACTGGCCAAAAAACATCATTTATCAGCTGCAACTTCCAAGAATTTGTACTCGACTCGATTAAATCTGAGACCCTATCCGGAAAAGCCACATTACTTGGGCGCTTGGTGAAAACCTTAAACCCACCTCCCTCTCGAAGCCATGGATCACCCCATATAGATGTGTCGAGACCATTTCCAATTCTTCTACGGAGGCCCATCTGCAAAAACGGAATAACCTTCCAAATGCTTCTCCAAGTAGCGGATGGTCGAAATCCCACGTCAGCGTTAAAGAGGTAGCCATGCGGAAAGTACCTGGCAGAGATAATCTTTGACAACAACAGATCTGGATTAGTGAAAATCCTCCACGCTTGTTTCACAAGCAACGCGACATTGAAGGCTTTCAAGTCTCCAAATCCCAATCCTCCAAGTTCCTTAGCTTTGCACATCTCCCCCCACGATAACCAGGCCATGCCCTTGTTCTCTCCATTTCCCCACCAAAATCGTCTGATTCCCATTTCAATTTCATTAATAAGTCCTTCGGGGAGAAGAAAACAGCTCATCACGTAAGTCGGGATAGCCTGTAGAACTGCTTTGATCAAAACTTCCTTGCCAGCTTTGGAGAGTTGTTTCTCCCCCCAACCCTTGATCTTCAACCACACACGGTCTCGTAAATAGGCAAATATCTCTTTTTTAGTTTTTCCAACGGACGCCGGCATCCCCAAATATTTGTCATGATGGTCCACAATTCGGAAGCCTAGGATTTGGTTAATGGCATTTCTCCGGGACAGTTGGGTAGTCGGACTAAAAGTCATCGTAGATTTCTCATGATTAATCTCCTGCCCGGATACTCTGGCATACTTGACGAGAATTTCTTTCAAAACATCTGCATATTCCTCAGTGGCATGCCCGAAAATAAGAGTGTCGTCGGCAAAGCACAAGCTAGACACCATCGGAGCTGTTTGGGCGACACGGACACCTTGGAATTCTCCTCTAACAGTGGCATTTGCAATCATTGCAATAAGAGCCTCAGCACAACATATAAACAGGTATGGGGAGAGGGGGTCGCCCTGCCGAAGCCCTCTCGAGGGAACAACACCGCCAAACTGCGTACCATTAAATAAAAACGAAAATGAGACTGTAGAGATGCACAACATAATAAGATCAATAAAGCGAGAGGGGATTCCAAAACGAGAAAGAATCTTTTGCAGAAAAAGCCATTCAATCCGATCGTATGCCTTACTAATGTCCAATTTAATAGCCATGTAATTAGTTTTAATATTAGAGCTCAATTTAATGAAATGATTGATCTCAAAAGCAACGAGAACGTTATCAGAAATCAAACGTTTTGGAACGAAGGCAGACTGAGTAGGAGAGATCAAATCATTTAAGACCAATTTAAGACGATTGGCTAAGACTTTCGACCCAAATTTATAAATAACGTTGCAAAGGCTTATAGGTCGATAATCAGTAATTTTTTCCGGGTTTTTCACCTTCGGGATTAAAACAATAAAAGTGGAATTAAGGTCAGGGGGGAGTTTGCGGTGATTCAAGAATTCAAGCACACAAGAGAGGACATCGGACCCTAACAAATGCCAATATTTAGTGAAAAAAACAACGGGTAAACCATCCGGGCCCGGGGATTTAAGAGGAGCCATTTGAGAAATGGCTCGGGTTACCTCATCCGAAGTAAAAGGCTTTGACAGAAGTTGACTAGCTTCCCTGGAAATTCTGGTCTCGACACTCGCCAACACCTCATCTATCTCATCCTCTCTCGGATTTGTGGACTTGAAGATGTGCTCGAAATAATTAGAGATAATATTCTCAATTTCCTCATCTTTCTCTTTCCAAATTCCCTCTGTATCTTTAAGACGATCCACTCGGTTTGTACGTCTCCTGATAGTAGCCTTGGAGTGAAAAAACCTCGTATTTCTGTCCCCTTCTTGAATCCATTGCACTCGACTCCGTTGGCGCCAGTACATGTCATCGTCTCCATAAGCTTGTTCTAACTCAGCTTTCACACCCCGAATTTCTTCCCTTCGAGCAACTGTTTGATCGGCCAATAGGAGAGATTGGAGTCGTTTGTGAAGACTTTTAATCTTCTTTCTCGGCTGCTGAACCGTTAGTTTACTCCATTGGATCAATGCAAGACGACACTCAGAGTTTTTGTAGATCAGCGATTCCATCGGCCCTGCATCGACGCTCTTCCTCCATTGATTCTCTATGATCTGCTCACAATCCTCTCTTCGGAGCCAAGTAGCCTCAAATCGAAAAGGTCGTTTCTTACCCGAGATACGAGCACGAGTCGGAACTCTAAGAACAAGTTTGATGGGAACGTGATCCGATCCCGAGTAGTTCAAGTGGTGAACTCGAGCATGAGGAAATTTGGAAATCCATTCTGAACTAGCACAAACTCTATCCAATCTACATCGAACCGTGTACGGTGAGACCCTATTATTAGACCACGTAAAGGGTGGGCCTTCGTAGCCCAAATCTGTCAAACCGCAATCATCTAAAACCTCTCGAAACCGCTCAATATAAGACGGCTGCTTTTGGGGACCCCCCATCTTTTCATTATTGCTGAGGATCTCATTAAAATCCCCTCCCACTATCCATGGTAAATCACGATGGTCCCTCAAGCTACGCAGCAGATCCCAAGAGAGCTTTCGACGACCCTGTTCTGGAAAACCGTAAAAACCCGTTACTCTCCATTTGCTATTTTGGTTTTCATCGAAAACCTCTGCATCAATATGATTATTAGAGTAACTAATCAAGTCAACCGCTAAATCTTTCTGCCAAAAAAGAACTAACCCACCAGATTGTCCCACCTTCTCCACACCAACTCCGTTAAGATTCCATTGTTTCTTCAATCTCTCAATACGAAGAAGTGTCGCCCTCGTTTCCGAGAGAAACACAATCCGGGGCCTGTGAACTCGGAGAATGTCTCCGAGTACATGAATTGTCAAAGGCGCCCCGAGCCCTTGACAATTCCAGAATACGCAATTCATTGTTCTCGGCGGGACTGCCGCGCAGTCTCCGCCGTTGAAATAAGGTCCTCGTCATGTAAGCACAACATTTGTTTCTTCCCTGCTGAAACTCTGTCCAAAAGCCCCGACTCATTAGCCTTGTTCTTCCTGCCTCTTTTTATAATTGCGTTTGGCCTCCTATTGGCTATGGATTTGCCTCCACCTGCCTGAAATTGAATTGAATTATTAACGTAGATTTGGTAAATTGAATTGTTCACTTTATTGATTGAGAATGTAACATATTTTGGGAAATGTTTGAATTGCCTCTATTTGTATAAATTCTTCCCGGCAATTTTGAAATTCTTACTTCTCAAGTAAATGATCAATATATATTCGCTCGTGTTATTAAGAGTAAATTACGAATAATCTGCGAGGTAGGTATGAATAACAAATATCCCCTATTGTTGCAAAATTAAAAATGGGGTTATTTGACAAAAGCCCCTGGTTATACATGTGCAATTACAAGGAGTCCATTTTTTTTTCTAGATTTTAAAATAAATCCAAATCATTTTTAATGTATTAAAATTAATTAAGTTTCACTATTATACCCTTATACTAATCTAAAACATTTCTTAGGTTTAGGAATACATAATGTAATATTTTTTTCATAATTAAAACCCCATAAATCTCGGTCCTTAATCTCCGAACACAACCCACGCCTCATGTCTCCTCTTCGAGTCGCCATCTTTCTCTCATCATACAAAATAAAAAAAACCCAAAAAAACTATTGTATGTTAAATTATTTAAAACCATAATATTATTCTATAATCATACAATTTTTTCCTCAATCTAGTGTGAAATAAATTATAATATTGATTTGATGTCAGGTTGAACAAGTCCATTGAAGTGCTTGAATTTTTTATTTTCATATATGTTATTATTTCCATTAACAGATGTTTGATTTTCTAATTTCTTTATTTTTTTTTCTTTGCTTCTCGTATATGTTATGATTTTCTTTTCTAACAAAAAAATGTTTCATCCTGTTCAAGTAATGGTAAGGTATGTTTTCGACATTGGTGGTATATGTGTCCGCGGGATTATGAAAGTTTTCCCAAAGGGTTGCGTTGGATATATTGAGCAATACGAGGTTTCAAGGTTGCGTTAGCCTCAGAGCAGAAAATAATGACTGGAAAGGTGGAGTCATTTTCAATAATTATTTACAGAATTTTATAGCGGTTTTCAATAATTATGTACATATTTTTATAGTGGTTTTCAATATTTTACACAAACCACTATAAAAATCTGTACAAAAATTATAGTGGTTTTCAATAATTTTTGTACAGATTTTTAATTAACTATATATACAAAGTGGTTTTTATATTGATATAGTTATTATACAGAGTGGTTTTCAAATTTACATAGGTGTTATACAGACTGGTTTTAATGTTATGTAATTGGTATACATAGTGGTTTTCATGTTTATATAGATGTTTATACAGAGTAGCTTTCATGTTATATAGTTGTTATACATAGTGGTTTTCATGTTTATATATTTGTTTATACAGAGTGATTTTCATGTTTATAGTGGTTTTTATTTTAAAAAATTGGAAAGAAAAAAAAAACCATTTTTAAAAAAATTCGAAATTAAGAAAAAAGAAAAATCATGAAAAAACGAAAATAAAAATAAAATTATTTTTTTAAATTAAAATGAAAAACATAAAATATAAATAAGAAAAAAAATTAAAATAAAAAACTGAAAATTAAAAAAAAATAAAAAAATAAAATAATTACAAAATTTTCTTTTTAAATCGAAATAAAGAAAAGGAAAAAAAACTGAATTGGCGTGATTAGGGGAATAATTTTTGGAGAAGATTTGGGTGTAGATTATGGGTATAATTTTTTTTTAAATTAAATAATTATACTAATTAATAATTAGTGGGGGTATATATGGTTTTTCAGGCCCATTTGATTTATGTCAAATATCATTTACAAATAAAGGATTTATCATGAATTAAAATCCCAATGAATGGTGTTTGGCATATAGCCCCATTAAAAATACACATGAAGTACATCATTGTCTAATAGTTTCTCGCATAGAGAGTCAATACATCAAAAATCTTTATATTCTAAGAGCATTCTTTCAAAAAGTCCAATTTTACCCATAAAACTTTTTCGGGAATAATTTGAAGATCTTTAAGTTACAAGGAGTTCACCGTGGATAATGTAAATTTTATTTTGGGGTTTTTGTGCAGAACTATATCTATTTCACCAATAAACACATTCCTTTAATATTTATTATAAATAAATGAAACATTCATGTATATGCCAATATTACCCTCAACCCTTTACACACAATTCTTAATTGTAGCTCCAATTTAATCAATTTTTGCCACAAAAATCCAATTTTGACTTTTTTTTTTCAAAAATTATTTTTTTGCCGCCGGTTTTCCGGCGTTGACTTTTTGATTTTTTTTCTAGTCCGTTTTTTCCGCCGTCGGATTCCGGCGTTGTTATTTATTTTTTATTTTTTAATCTATATATAATATAAAAAGAGGATCTATGCCCTCTATGATTGACATGTGGCAAATGATGATGTCATTTATCAAAATTGCTTAGTTGGAGTTCAATTGATGAGGTGGATTATTCAATTGGTGAGTTGTCAATTTTATTTTGGTATGTGTTTAAGTTATTTCCTATTTAACATTTGTACACTCATTTAAACATTTACCACATGTATATATATTATTTTCAAATTTAATATTCTATAAATTAGAAAAAAAAATTATCGAATTTATATTTTCAATTCAGAAATTATTTATTGAAAAAATTCAGGATACTCAATTTTTTTACGAATATTCTAATAATTTTCAGAAGAAAACATTTTTTTTAATATTGAAATATTAAAATATTAAAATAAAGGAATACAATTTTTTTTTTCAATATTTTGAAATATTCTCCATTCAATATAAAACAAAATTATTAAGAATTCAATAAAAAAAATCCAGCGTGTAAATTAAAATCATTTAATAGGATTCATTAGAATAGATCAATCCAAATTCAGATTAATTTAAATATATAAAAATATTCGAATTTCAAATTTTATATATTTTGATTTTTCTAAAATTTAATTTTTCAAAATATGCTTCCAATTTATATAATTGATTTTGATTGGTTACAATTTTAATATGATATGTCACAATTCATCGATTTTGTCTACTATTTGCATAACTACCATATATAATATTATAATATTCAATATTGACTAATCAACTAAACATAATTTATTTCTTTTTAAATATTTTTTTAACATTCCAAAATCGGTGCATTAATTGTTAGATATAATTTCGGTAATTATTTTTATTGTTTTTGACTTTTATATTAACATTTGATTTTATTTATATAATCGATTTGTTAATAAGATTTATTACTATTACAAATAAAAGGCCAAAAAAAAATGATATTACCATGTCTCACTGCAATCTTTCACAATTACTATTAATGATGATTCCGTCCAAATTTAAATAAATGTAGAATAACATTAAAATGTTAACCTATGATCTTTCGGATTTGATTTGAAGATTTTCCGCCGATTTTATACCATTATTTTGTGATTTGATTTAGTAATTATTACAATTAATAATGATTTCCTTAACATATGTTATTAACTTATTTAATGTTTGAAAATTATGTATAAATAATCTCAACCACAACTAATTCATCTCATAATTCATCTACACATTTTCTTATAATCACACGAAACAACGGTTTTCACCCTAAATTTTTTTCTATCTTTCTATTTTGCATTGTATTATTTTTCATCTATTTTTTACACGTGTTTGTTTAAACTATGTTATAGTGTATTATTTTCTTCGGTATCCGTTAAAAAATATGCGTAAATACAACAATCTAGCTCGGGTTTTTTCTTTTTTAGATCCATGAATAGCATCACTTGTGTCATATGCAGCGACATCGATAAGAGAGAAGTCCTGCGAAGTTGTGTAGCATGCAACGACATGATTCACGTTTAGTTTTATTGATGAATAGTCAGTGGATGCACGGGGATATTTTTCGATGATTGTTAAATTGTTTCCGATAAAGAACCATTCGATGTTGATGAAGTTGAAAATTTAATAGCAAAAAAGGTAATTGTGTATTTATTGATTTGTAATAGGGATTCCTCTATCGTTTATTAAACTATTTGAATAAATTTTATACTTTCTTTCATATCTTTTATTTTTTATTTTTTATGAATCTAATTATATGATACATGTAATTTCCTTATTTTTCTTTTTTTCAAGGAATGATAATATGCTTTCTAATCGCAAAGTGTTCGATTTGTTTATTTTATGTGAAAATAACTTATTTATCTTCATAAAATTAATTCATATAATATAAGAATATATATAGATAAATTTATCTTTATCTATTTATATTATAAAATTTTAAATTTAAATATTATAAACTAAATTTTATTTTTCTTTCACCCATATAAATACAAATCTACAAGGTACATCCATATATATATATATATATATATATATATATATATATATATATATATATATATATATATATATATATATATATATATATTGTTTTTCAAGTACACATGTATTTGTAAATATTTTAAATCAAACTCTTCAATATTTATTCTTGATCAGTAATACATATATACTAATGTATATATGTGCAATTAATAAAACTGAAAGTATATAAAGTATATATTATTAGGCATCCGCGTGATATCGAATAAATTTTGTATATTTGTCTTCTATGTTTTATGATAATTCTGTCTCATTCTTATTTTTTGTTTTCTTTATGTGCTCGATCAAAAGTTATATTGTCCTGTGTATATGAGACACGAATTCCTAATACTTGATTAATTGTACTGATACACATTTAATGTATAAAACATATATTCACAATTACTATATCTACACTTCATATAAACAAAAATATTATTTTTTTAATCATAACTTCTTAAATATTTAATAATATTTAGATATATAAGTCATATTTAAGTATTCAAAAGTGGTATTCTAAAAAAAATATCCAAAAGTGGTGAAATATTATTTTTTTCGGCTTGATCTTACACTTCTGAAAATGAGTGCAACACCATTCAAATTACTCTATATACAATATCATAAAAAAACATTGATTATTATAAATTTAAATGGTTTAATACTAATATTATTAATTTTTTTTATTGCCATATATATGTTTGGCCAAATAATTGACTATCTTTCTTGACAATTTGTTTTGATAAATTAATGAAATAATTTATAAACTATTATCTATATAAATATTTATCTTTATTATCATATATTTATTGATAATTATATAATATACTTAAT